GTGCCCCCATCCATAGCTCCACTGAAATTCCATCATAAGCCACACATGAAAAGTTCCTGGGTGTTAGTTATTAAATTTTAATAGTTAATTAATTAATTTAATAACTCCACACAACTCAAAGCTCTGCTGGTCCAAGAGGGAACAAGAATGGCCACAAGCTGTGCCAAGGGAGGGCAGGGTGGACAGAGCAGGAATTTCCCCATGGAAAGGGGGCTCAGGGATTGGAAGTGCCCAGGGGGGTTTGGGTCCCCATCCCTGGAGTGTCCCAGGAATTCCTGGAGGTGGAGCTCGGTGTGAGTGGAAATCCCTGTGGGAATTGTGCAGTGAGATGGGAACACGGAACTGGGTGAATCCCAGGAGGAATTCAGGAACTGGAACCTCTGTGTGTGTGGGGACAGCAGCAGGCATTTCCCCATGGAAAGGGGGCTTGGAAGTGCCCAGGGGGATTGGGATCCCCATCCCTGGAGTGTCCCAGGGATTCCTGGAGGTGCCACCCAGAGCTCTGGGGACAGGGTGGGCAGGGGGCACCGCTGGGATTCCATGGTCCTGCAGGGATTTGGGGATTCCATGACTGCAGACCCCCCCCCCCCCCCATCTCCTGCTGCACCTTTTGCCCCTTCCCCATCCGAGCACTCTCTGAAGAATTTTGGACTGGGATGCAAAGAAGTTGGATTTTGGACCAAACCCAAGCGTTCTGGACACTGGAATGAATCCAAAGGGCTGATTCCCATCAGCCATGGAATAAATCCCTCCCCTCAGTAATCTCCTGGCAGCTCCAGACAGGTCCTGTTATCTCACCACAACTTCCCACATCCAAACCACTGACTGCTTTTTGCCCTGTGCCAGCACATGATGTTTAGATTTGTTTTGCAGTCCAGTTTCATTACGATATCCTTCAGAATATTTCATTGGAGAACTATGCAAAACTGCACTGAATTCCCTCCCCCCTTTTAGCCCCTCGACCCCTTCCCTGCAAGGAAAATTTCTCCTTAATTTTCATCTGCTGGAAGTGTGGTTTCAATTTTTAATGGGATTCTCTCCCTTTTTTTTTTTTTTTTTTGAAATGCTGGGTTTCAGGCAGCCTCTTTGCACACTCAGCTGTTAATATTTGCTTTTAACAATTTTTGAGTCAAGTGGGAAAAATAGAAAACTCGATAGAGATGTAAAAAGAAATGTAAATTAGATATTAATTGTCTGGATTCCAATCGGTTACATATGAGTAATATTTATTTTATTACTAAGCAACTGTTGAGCCAATTAAGACAAATTTTGACAGGTTGATATTGCAAATTATGGGATGGTTTGGGTTGGAAAGACCTTAAAGCCCATTTTGTTCCACCCCCAGGGACACCTTCCACTATCCCAGGTTGCTCCAACCCTCTGAGAAATAAAATTTTTCCTATTCAAATATAATCTAAATCTCTCCCTTGTCCTCCAAATACTTTTGATGCTCCATTACTTTTCTTTTTCTTACATGAACTTTGAAGTGCCCAACAATTCCCTGGGATCACAAAGGGGCTCCACAATCCCTGCCTGGCTCTGTGAGGCACAAATCCCAGTTCCCACCTATGGAATGGCCACATTTTGGATATAAAACCTTGCAGACATTTAGAAAAAACACCAAACACTGCTTGGAGACACAAATTACAATCTCATTTTCGTGGCTTTCCTTTCTAGCACTGAAAAACCTCCAAAATGAGAAATGCTCTCAGAAATCACAGTCCTGGGGTTTCAGAACTAATAAGAAATTTTAGCTTCTTAAAAAGCATCACTTGCAAAGCACTCAGTGAAAAGGAGTTTTTATTTAGTTACCACTTGCACATTATTAATCTGTTTAAGTCTATCAAAGCAATTAGCCAGGATTCTCCTGTATCATCTAATCAGATACAAATGTTGCATCTTTTTTTTTTTTTTTTTTTTTTTTGGGAATGCTTTCCCAGTTTGAAAAGCAGCATTCTCCTGACTAATTAGATCAGTGGTGAATACTTTATGAGGGCCTATTTTTAGGCCAGTGATTCAACAAACAAAAGTGCCTGAAGTAGGAAGGAAACCTTGAATCCCTCAGGATTTTTTTCCTTGGGGTGGTGGCCAGGGCCATGGCACAGCTCTACCCATGATTTACTCATGATTTACTCATGATTTACTCATGATTTACTCATGATAAACACAATACACTCGTGATATACTCCAGCCTTCAGGCTGAAAACAGATCTCACTTGTAAACAGATCTCACTTGTAAATACAGATCTATAAATTTTGCCACAATCAGAGAATTGCTCTGAATGACTTAATTAAAGTGAGCATTTTAAATTGCCCCAGTGCCAGCTCACTTCACACCACTCCAACCAGCTCTGATATGATTTCTAACTTTTAAAGCAGTTTTATACCCATGACAAGGTTTCAATGCTCTTATTTTATGCCACTCTTGATGCTGTGGAATTTTTTTTAGGGTTGGAATTTAACCACTCTATCAAACAATTGCCTGGAGGTGTCCAAGGAACACCTGGATGCAGCACTCAGGTGCCCTGGGCTGGTGACAAGGTGGGGATTGGCCACTCCTGGAGGCTTTTTCTAATCTGGATGATTCCCTGACAGCCCTGTGGATGAATTCCCCCATAAATAACAAAAATCCATGAGGATTCCAGGCCCCTGTCCCTGCTCTCCATCCTCTGGATTTTCCCAGCACGTGCATGGCCAGAACCCTGTGGGATTTCTTCTCCACTGCAGCCCTGCCATGCAGGAACCCACACCAATAAAACAACAGGAAAATGATTTTCCTGGAGAAAAACTGATTGATGGCCACGGGATCCATGATCATTTAGGAGCTTTTCACATAAATCCCTTTGCTTGCAGCATTTTGGATCAGGGGGCTGTTAATTAAAAAGATATAAATCTGATATCCTTCCCACCAGGGAAAAAAATCAAGAGATTCCTCAATTTTGGAGATTTAATTGTGCCAATAAAGTCATGCCAGGCAGTGGATAACTGGGCTGAGGTGGGAAGGAGCAGGATTTTTTTAGGAGCCCTTCTGGGTAGCACCAAACCCAAAAATCTTCTCCCAGACTTTTAACCCATCTTTCTGTGCAATTCCCAAAGCTGGGAGCTTGGAATGAAAGAATGGATAAAGTCCCTCCTCTTAAAAAATACAGAGATCTCTGAAAAGCTTTGCACAAAAAAAAAAAAAAGGAAAAAAAAAAAAAGGCAGGAAAGAAAAGGATTTTGTTTTTAATGCTCATCCCTGACTGTTCACTATGGATTGATTAATATTTATTTATAATTTAATGACATATTTATTATTTTCACTCCATGGATGCTCTTCCAGGCTTTCCACCACGTGGATTTTTTTTCTTTCCAAGGGGAACAGGTCAGAACTGTGACACAGATCTATTTTGTGTCAGCACGATGGCAGCACTCAGATTTTGTCCAAACTAAAATTAATATTTGGTGTGTACCAGAAATCAGCTAAGAATGATGTCACTGTTATCCAAACCCTCCCTAGGCTTATTAAATTATATTAAATATTATGAAATTGAATATTATTGAGCAATATGTTAATGAGAAGTGGAGAAACTTCACATCCACTTTATTTTAGGGGAATTTGGATAAAGAAATGAGGAATTTTCTTTCAATTCTCGTGTTTCAGGCTTCCCAAAAAAGCTGATCTATTCAGCACAGTTCTGCAAGGTTTTTATACTGATTATATGAATTTCAGGAATCTTTGATAGAGGATGTTGTGAAAATATCTAATAAAGAGATGCAGAAATTGAGGAAGAAATAACTATTTGTAAGTGTTCAGTTCTGCTGTACATTACTGCCTTAGAGGTTACCAGGGAAATGCAAATTTAGGAAAAAATAAAGATTTCATTTAAAAGGAAAAAAAAAAAAAAAATTGAACAGAAAGAACTCTTTCAAAAACTGACCATGAAAATTCAGTTAGATTCTAACCAAACAATTAAAAAACAGGAAAAAAAATTAAGATTCCTGGAAATCTAGGGAAAGGCTCCAAGCACTGGAATAACAATTTTTGAATAGCCCCCAGATCTCCATTAATTTTGAGACCAAAAATGAAGCGATAAATGGCAAAAATCGAGCAATAAATGGCAAAATTGAAAACGTTTTCAATAAACAATATCAACCCTCCTTTGTACCACACACCTGAAATTGAGGACAGAGCAACATTTCAATAATTTGAATTATTCAGCCCGAGTTCCTGTGCAGGAGAATGTCAGAACTGTAGCAAGATTGCAAATTAAACCCATAAATTATGCTTTTGTGCCAAAGTAGTAATCACGTGGCCTGTACTATTTTTAGACCCTTGGAATTTTTTTTTTTTTTTCTCCAAGCGCTCCTTTTTTTTTTTTTCAACTGTTTATTGAATTACGTAGCTCTGCTCAGCAATTTCCCTGATGGAAATACACTTAAGGTATTAAAAAATAGATGAGAACAATAAAAATCAGCTTTTCAGACACCTCAATGCAAACCCTCCTGCCTTGTCTGGCATAAATGGAATAATATTGGAGAGTGTGGACCCTGGGATAATACAAATCTGATTAATCTCTCCATTAGCAGATAATTACTTACTAATTGAATGTAGAAGTATATTTGGAGAATTTGGCCCCACTGTTTTATTTGAGTTTTCTCTGTTTTCTAACCAAAAAAAAAAAAAAAAGATGCAAAAGTTCAAGGATGTATTTTTTTAAAAAGGTGTTTTTAATCCTTTTAAATGCCAAATGTTTTTTTCCTTGCTGTAGCAGAGATTTATTAGTTATGAGTTTAATCATTTTTAAATCAATCTCGATGAAGATTTGTATACATGACCTTTCCTTCTCCAGCCCCTTTTTCTACTCACACTGCTCTGAGTCAGCTCTTTCCTCAATTCACCACTTGATTTCAAAATATTCTTGCTCACCCTGCCATTAAAACATCACCTTTGTTTTGTTATTTAAAAGCTTTGAAACCACGAAGGCCCACAGAAAATAATTGCTAATGTATTAATTAAGAGTAGGACAGGGGATTGACATGAAAATTTAAAAATCCTGACCTTTTTCCTCATGAAGCATTAGATTGAAGGTGGGTCTGTTCATCTTGTTCACTCCAAGCTGGAAAAGAATCAGTTAAAATAAAAAATAAGCAATAGTGAGCAACACACTCCACTTAGGAGGTTAAAGATTCCAATATTAAATGACTCTTAATTATTTCTTCATATTTAGAAACACTTAGAAAGGTTTCTTAGGATAAATGATGAAATATCTATTTCCACTCCTTGCTTTGTACACATTTCATTTCTATCCAACATCACAACATGAAAAAGTTAAAAAAACTTTAACTCAGTTAAAAAAATGAGAGTGTTATGATTTCTTTTTACAAAATCAGCCTTACTCTATTTAATCTGAATTCTGGCAACACAAATGATCAAAATTCTTGCCTTTACACCCCCCTCCCCACTTTTAAATAAAATTTTGGGCTTCAGGAGTGGCTGGCTGCCCCAACCCCTTCACTCAGATTTACTTTTCAGCAAACCAAGGTTATTTTTAGCCCACTAAAAGGAGCAAAAGTGCCTCAAAGTTGGTGTCTGTGTATTTTGGGGATGAATTCTTTACATGACAACGATCAGACATGTTCACACCATCACCCTCACCTTAATAAAGATAAATTTCCTTGGCCAATAAAGTGTGAGGAGAGGAGCCTGGCTCCTGGCAAATGAAACATTTGATTTTAGGATAAAACATTCCCTGCTTCAGAGCAGGGCTGCTGAAACATTCCTTGGAGGGGATTTGCCATCCAAACACAACAAATTCATTTCTAATGCAACAAAGGTGATACCTGGTGGTGATGCTCAGCTCTGCCCTGACTTTGCACTGAAAAAAACCTGATTTTCCTGCTTGAGAAATCCCCCCAAAGCAGAGACAGAAGAAGTTTGATTCTCTCGAGAAGGAGCTGAACAAAAGGGTGAAGCACAGTCAAGCTGGACAAGCATAAGGGAATTCCACCAGCTCATCAAAGCAGGGAAAAGAAAAATGAGAGTAAAGCCCAAAGGCAGCCAGAAATTAAAACCATGTGGCCCTTTAAGGATGAAGCACATCCAAGAGTTGAGGAACAAAGCTCCAAAAAAGATAAGAGCCTGGAAAATTCACTGCTTCCATCCCAGCTGAAAGACAATATATATCTTAAATTATAACTCCAAAAGTTCTTTATTCTCTGAAAGTGCTCCCAAACAACGGCTCTGGAATTGCCTAATGCAGATATTGAGGATGTTCTGCTCCAAAAAGTGAATTATTGGGGAAAATGTGGGCAAAGAAGCACTCAGGCAACTCTTCATGCCCACATATTTAACATTTGTGCTGCAGGGATTTATTTCTCGTGTTCCTCTGCACCAGCTCCTGGACTCAGCCAACTTGAACCCCAATTTCACTCTACTCGAAAGAAGAACTTTCCAAAGCATTTTATTTCAGAAAATAAAAGTCCTTTGGGTCATTTTTATTGCACACCTTCAACTGAAAGGTGTTGTCAGGAATGGAAAAGGTTTGCAGGGAAAGGAGACAAATTTATTCCCAAAATTAAGGAGACAGAATTAAACTGAGGATGTGAACAGAGGGATCTCAGGAGAGCAAAAATCTCAGCCCATGGCCAGTGGGGAAAGTCAAAATTACTGACATTTTCTCTGGAAGCTCCTTCTGTGTGTTTTTAAAAGTTTCTTGATAGGTAAAATATCCCAGTTTTCCATCCATATTTGCAGTCAGATTTGAGGTAAAACAAAACCCCAAAACCTCTGGCCTGTTTTCTCTTTCCATCTCTCCTAAATTCCACTTGCTGCAAGCTGAACTTGCTTTTTAGTTTGTTGTTTGTTTTTTTTTTAAATCTACAGAGCAACCCCCACCACTGCTTTGATAAAACCCCCTTATCTCTTTTTTTCTGCCCATCCTACAGTGTTCCCTTTTTTCCTACAATAAACAAACCCAACCCTTTCAGCTGTTCTTTAAGAGCCCTGATTTCTAAATCTGGCATGGGCTGCTGATCTGCTTTGCATTCCTCTGGCTAATATCAATTTAAATGAAATGTATTTATTAACATTTAATCAATAGACATTAATTTTAAAATAAAGGAAGAATAAATATTTAAATTTTAATATTTTTAAAAAAATAATAATATTTTTTTTTATTATAAGGGTAAGTCTAGTATTGCAGAACACCTCCTGCCTTTTGATCTCACTAAGAGCAAACACACACCAAGGAAATTTGGGATATTTTTAAGGAATGAAGAGATTCCATTGGAAGGAGAATCCTAAAATTGTTGGAGGGACCTTAAAGCTCATCCCAGCCCACCCCCTGCCTTGGGCAGGGACACCTTTCACCATCCCAGGTTCCTCCAACCTGGCCTTGGACACTTCCAGGGATGAAGAATCCACAACTTCTTTGGGAATCCTGTGCCAGGGAAGAAGAGATTTACATAAAATTCCACCAAGGGAATTTTAGGAGCTCTTGTGTCAGCTCTCCCTAATCAGGGACAGCTCTGAAAAAAAGGATTCCAGATGAGCTGTGACCATGAATGATCCTGTGGGAATGCTGCACACATCAGTTCACAGGGGATCAGACAGAATCCCACATTTCCTCTGAAGAGCAAAGTCCTGCTAAGAATGAAAATGTGTTTAAAATCCTTATTTTGCTCCAACAGATATTGTACATCCACTCCAGTGACTAAGATACCCAACACTGCTGTAGATGCAACTTTCATTTAAAAATAAAAACACACATTCCTTCAACTGGGCCACTTCAGATTAGGGATCTCTTCAGCCTTTTCTGGAGGGATTTAAGAAAGCTTTGGAGAAATCTTAAAGCTCTGGAATTAGCCTGGTATTTATAGCTCCGTTTCCAAGTGTGTTCTTTGAGCTTCCTAGGCCGTTCCTTTTCCCCATCTGCTGGTTGTTGACATGGTGTAACCTTGTATTTTGCTTAGGAAAATCTAGAAGAATCTGAGTATTTGATTTGAGATTGTGCTGGACAGGTCTGGCTCCATCTCAGGCAGCTCCACTTTGCTGCTCCAACATCATCCAGGGCAGGAATGGGTCCTGCAGATTTTCCAACAGAGAACTGCAGTTCTATTGTTTGATGAAGTCAAAATATATTACTCCCAATTATGACTAATGCTCCATCTGAATCACAGCAGCACAAAATGGTGCCTTTTTTCCCCATTAAAATGCTGTGCTTCACATGCTGGCTGGATACAATCTCTTAAATTGAGGTCAGGAAAGTTTTTTTTTCTTTGTTCTCTTATCAGAAAGTCCATGTTTGGGTGCATTGTTTCCCTTCCACCAAACTGCTGAACTGTTTACTTGTCTACTTCAGCACCATCAAATGTTGAAGATGCCTGATCTTCTCTTTGTTTTTTTTTTTAAATGTTGCCTCAAATATTTTGCCTTAAAACTTTGCTGCCACGGTGTAAAACTACCAAATAATAAAAAATAAAAATTCAGAAGTTTCCCAGCTCAATAAATGCACCGATTTACCTTAGAATACTCACCTACATTGCTTCTCATGGTCTTGCTTCAGGTTATCTTGGGGATCTTTGAGGTTTTTTAGAATTCCTGCTGCACTTTGAGCTTGGCTTTAGACAGTCTCCTGTGGTGCTCTGGATGATGGGCTATGTCCATTGGGGCTGGCTCCTTGCCTCCCTCCACCCCTCATCTGAGGAACTCCTGCACCCCACTTACATCTGCTGGGAAAATCACAGCATCTCAATTAAAACAAATGTTTTCATTCCACTTTTCTGGATTGTTTTGTAAGCCCCTCCACAATTACTTGGTAGCATGAACAAAGTAAGATTTGTTTTCTGAGGAATGGCTTTGAGTGGAACTGAAGATGCCTTTTGATTCGTACTGACCCACACAAAAACCCTCCAGCTGAAGACAAAAAGCTGAATTTTGGAGCTGTGATGCTGCCAAAAGGCCTTGGTGAGGTAGAAGGTTCCACCAGCACCAATGATGAGTTACAAATGATGAACTAAAAATGATAATTACAAATGGTGAGCTACAAATGGTGAGCAACAAAGGATGAACTAAAAATGATGAACTAAAAATGGTAATTACAAATGGTGAGCTACAAATGGTGAGCAACAAATGATGAACTACAAATGATGAACTAAAAATAATGAACTAAAAATGATAATTACAAATGGTGAGCAACAAATGATGAGCTACAAATGGTAATTACAAATGGTGAGCTACAAATGGTGAGCTACAAATGAGTCTTGGCTCAGCTACAGGACATTGGTGAATCCCCAGATGAAACAGAAGCTGTTGGATCATGGAATCCCAAAATAGTTTGGGATGGAAGGGGCCTTGAAATCAGCTGATTCCAGCTCCTGCCATGGCAGGGACACCTTCCCCCAGTCCAGGTTGCTCCAAGCCTCATCCAACCTGGCCTTGGCTCATTATTCCCAAACTCCTGCCTGTTCCTGGGGCCATTTCTGCCCTTTCCAGAGTTCAATCCTTCCAGCACTGATTCCCTGCTGGAATCCCTCTGACCCCAAAAGGAGCCACCAGCCTGCCCAGGAGCTGGAATTAATTAATGGGATTCTTCCAGAGGTGAAATGGATTGGAGCTCATCAGGTTAAAGTCATACCCCAAAGAGTTAATGGGGCCTTTAAACCCTCAGATCTGAGAGCCTGAGGACTCAGCACAGGGCACAGTTGGGCATTAAATGCACAATAATTGGGGGTTTCATATTTTTCTCCAAAATAAATCTTCATTAAACCAAATGCAGCATCAATGATTTTTGAATCCTTCAGAAAATGGAAAGAATTAATTCTGATTTTCATATCACCTCTTTGGAGTCTCTTTTAAAGCCATTTATCAAGGTCTGGGTTGTTGTTAAAACCTTCTCCTATCACAGAAAACCCTAATAGAAAATGGTAATGAAAAATTTCAGATAAGACAAACAAACATGGTATAACACAACCCTGTGACAACAAAAGTCACAAAGTGCAATCAAATACAGCATTTCCTGTGATTACTGAAATATTTTGGTGAGGTTTAGAAGCAAAACCTGCAGTTTGGCTTCACTGATTTCATCAGTATCCCCAATTTAACTGAGTTTTCAATTGATCTCTCCAATTTAAAGGCAAAATTAGGGCCCAGCACTTTGGTGCAATGACTCTTGGCTCTCTCAAACTGCATTTACCAACCTTTCAGGAATGTTTTTTTTTCACATGCAAACTAATTAAAATTTAAAAATTATTAACTCTGTAAAAAACATGACTTTATAAATGACACCCTATAAATTATGAACATATATTTAGATTTTCTTAAGCAGTGGGGCACTAGAAAACTTCAATGTTTAGGCTCTAGAGAGGGTTTATCTGTTTTTAATACCAAGCATTAACAAGGAACATTCAGTCCATAAATACATTGAATATATAGATATTACTGAACAGAAGTATTTCAAAACATGATCATTTTATGCAGATTATTCATATAATTATAATTTATCTTCACAGTAACAAAAACAGATAGAAAGATGCTATAACCTACCACTAAAGAATTTGCATAAAAATGTATTTTAGATCATAATTCCACTATGGATTTAACGTTCTTCATGTAGAATTATATATTAATGTTTAAACACATTGAAAGGTATTGATCAGAGATATTTTTATGAAGAATTCCCCATGAGCACAGAATGCTCATCACAGCAACTACTGTAAAACTCTAATTTACTGGAAACAATTCCAATGGATGGAAGAGCCCAAGAATAAAACCTGAAGTCACAGCAGGGTTTAAAAAATCTGGGTCACATGGCCAGTGCTGAGGGGAAAGGAGCTTCCCCTAAAGGCCACGAAAAATCAACAGCAGAGCAATGAGAATTCATTTAAATGAATAATCTGATTGTGAATTTATCAAAATTAAACAGCAACAAGCAATTAATGATAAAATCATCAGCACTGAGCATATGGACATGAACTTACACAGTGACTACAGAATTTTTTTTTTTTTTTTTTTATTCCATGCACATCCCTAACAATAAACTTCCCAAAAAGTTGCAGGAATCCAGTGGTGCCTTTATCTCTGGGGGAGGCACATCTGTTTTTTCAGGGCCTTTTTGCTGTCTCCTTCCTTTGTGAGCTTCCTATTTACATAACAAGTCTGTGCTAACAGATTAAAAAAAAAAATCCTGTCCCCATCTAATCTCAACAGATACAAACAATATTCTTACAACTACAATATCTGGAGGAGCTAAAATTAAAGATACTTTTTATGAGCAAACATGAAAAATACCAAAAACTGTTACTCCTGTAAGAGCAACAAACTGAACTTTTTAATTGTGTGCTGTCACAAATGAGTAAAAAAGAGGGTGGCAGTCAGCCAGTTCTCTTTTTACTTCAGCTGGGTTTTAAAATGCATTTCTTCTAAATCAAACAACTTGATTATTGGCTGTTGCTCAGGTTATTTTTCTTATTTACTCCATGGCATAACTGAAAAACCTCTCCTCCAAACCAGTTAATTCCAAATTAAAGCCATGAGCTCCAGGCTGGAAAACAACAGCAGCACCTTTTATTTGGGAGCATCCACTTCTGTCTGATTTTCTTTACAGTAATTGTTATTTTCAGTCTGTTAAGGGGAAAAGTCACACAAAATTACATTTATTCATTGCACTGTCTTTAATTTCAGAGCAATCAGAGAAGCCCAGAGGGGTTTGGGTGGGAAGGGACCTTAAATCCCATCCATTCCCACCCTGCCATGGGACCCCTTCCCCTCCAAGCCCTGCCCAACCTGGCTCTGGACTTTCTCATGGCTTTGGGTTTTTAAAGAGACAAGAGCAGGAGTTGGTTGTGTAAAGCTTTTTATTCCATGAATGTATTAATCTTGAAGCCACAGTTCAGAATATTTAAGTTTATGCTAAAGTGTTTTGGCCTAGAGTCCTGAGCAGAAGTAACAGCAGCATTTGTAGCTTTCTTCTTTTTATTTTTTTCCTTTTTTTCCCTTTTTTTTCCTTCTTCTTCTTTATTTTTTTTCTCTGTGTGTGTTTTCTTACCTCAATACAGGGGATTTTTATTTATAAATCATTCAATCAGCTAAAACCACAAATGTAAAATATTTTTTCTACACCTATCAGAATTTAATTTTTCAAGTACAAAAGTAGGGCCAGTTTTCACCTATAATTTAAGCATACAGTTTTATCTATTTATGCAAACAGTTTTATTTATTTTATTTAGAAATGTAAGCAATGTTTTGCTACGTTTTTGTTATGTTTAGGGCCAAGTTGCTGAACTTCAAGCTAGGATTTGGGGCTTTTTACTTTTTTAAGGTGCTTAAAGTGTATTTTTATTTACTTAAAACTAAGACTTTCACTTCATATTTATGTGGCTTAATATATTTTAATATCTTTAAATATTCTTTATATATTCCAACACCTGGCCTTGGACTTCCCTGGGCTATCAGAAAGAGAAGCAAAGGGAAAATTCACCTACCTGAAATCAGGAAGACTGGTGGGTGTAATCCTTTAGGATTTGATGGTTCTCAGAACTTTTGGGAAGAATTACAGAAGTGCTGTTTTTTGTTTGTTTTTTTTTTTTTTCAAGTTCTTTGTGGTTTTTGCCCGTTTTGTTGCAATAAAGCCTCTTCTTCCTGCAAGAAAAATCCACGTGGTACTAAAGGGAGATTTGCAGAAAAGCAAATTATTCCTCAATTCCCTCTGGAAGGATTTTTAGGGTCCAGCTCTGCTATCCTCCCCTGCTTTCCACTTGGAGAGAATTTCAGGCTGTAAAAAAACCAGAGCCCACACAGCTGGAGAATGGAGAAAAGGACTTGCAAGTGAGATATTCTTGAGAGCATCCACCACAAAACTCCAGAGAACTAAAATAAGAAAAAGACGCCCAGTTTTGCTTATTTATATACACATCTCTTTTTATATACACTCACACACATGGACATTTCTATAAATTAATATAAACCCCCCCCCCAAAGCAGTTTAGAACCATTGAAAGTAGGTTATAGACTTCTAAACTTTATTTTTTTTTCCCCAATTTTCCCCCTAAACCAAGCAGAATTCTGTGACTTGATGGCAAATCATGACCTCGGTCTCAGCATGGCCTTGTATTTAATTTTATTCCTATAACCAGCATAAAAAGTGGGTGAAAATACACATTATTATGCTTGGAGTAAGCACAGGGCTCACAGAATTTTCAGGTTTCCCCAAATTCAACCTCAATCCAGAAGGCCTGGCCTAAATCAGGGCTCTGCTACCTCCTGAAATTTATTTTTTTTTTTTTTCCTCACTCCTCCATTTCCCCGAAGTTTGAGACAATTGCAGAGGAGGGGAATCCCCGAGGTGCTCAGCCAAGGGGACACAAGTCATCCCTGTGCTCCAAGGCTGGTCCCTCCTGGATCAGCCCAGATTTGTGCATTTCTGCTGGATTAAGTCTTAACCCAGATCTTCCCTAATCCCCGTGGCTGCAGGAATGCTGGGGCTGCAGCAGCAAGGAGTGACACACGGACACGAACGAGAAACTCCCGAGTGGAAAGAGCAGCAGCAGCCACTTGGAGAAATCCAGGATTTTTGCTCATTTTATTTCTGAGGCCTGCAGCGCTGAAAAATCTGTGTTTATGGGAGAATCTCGGTGTATTTGTTGTTTAATAAAAGTAGTATTTATCTATTTACAGCTTCCTAATTCTACATTTTAACTGTTACAACGCCAAAGAGCAAGGGAAATATCTAAAAAAAAAAAATCTGACTAGTGTTGGAAACAATCTTGCTTCCATTGTGATTAGAATTCCCATTTATTATCTGAGTATTTGCTAGACATTGGTATCTGGAGAAAATGAAGTTAAAGCAGAACAGATGGCAAAAAAAAAAAAAAAAAAAAAAAAAAAAAGAAGCAGCAGCTATCCCACCTTGCAAGGCTACCTTGGCAGGAACATATGGCCTTTTCCTGGGCTTCTGTATGACAACAAGTTGGCCAGATGAACAAAACTTCAAAAAAAATGAACTGTAACTGCCTAACACCACGGACCACGTGAAAAAAACTCAAAGCAACACCAAAAAGCAGGCAAGTGAATTCAGAAATCAGCTGGAAGGCCAACAAACTATCACATTTCCTTAAATTACGTGTTACACGGTTATAAATATAATATGCTGGTCTATTTCTAGATAGGTATGTGATATTTAGAAAGGTAACTCACTAACATATTTACATTGTGATATATAGATATAAGGAACAATTTTCAAAGGTTTGGCAGTGCAGTCATTTGTTGCTTTGAGCATATAAGATGTAAGAAAGGATATTAGCTATTTTTTTTTTCTGTCTCCAGTTACAGGAAAAAAAAAAGTTTTAATTTGCAAGAAGGAAAAATTAGACATCAGTTTAGTCAGTATTTCAGTTCTATAAATCCTGAGCAGCTGACACCTCTGCCTGCAGTTGGGACATTCTCCACATTTTGATAAAGTTCATACTCAAGATTTAGACCCACAAACTCTGGAGAATAAAGGTCTCTCCAACAATCACACCTCCTAGTTTATTTGGGTTTTCTCAAAACATCTTAGAATGAAATTTGAGGAATAATTTACGAATTATTTTCATTCATCTGTAACACAGCACTTTGAAAACTTGATTTGTTTCCCTCAGCCCCTTTGCACACCTGGAGTACAAGCATTGCTGTTTCCTGGCTCACAATGGAAATGGAATCAACTTTTCTCCTTCACTGATCTTTAATTTAATAGAGAGATAACTGAGAAGCTGAGGAGAGCTGAGGAGATGAACAAAGAATTTGAGCTCTGTATAATGGCAATTTGTCTTCTCTCCCATTTCTCCTACACAAATGTTGCTAAAGGTACAAAAGAACGAGTTAGTAAAAAATTCAGTTGTTACTACTCCATACTTAAAAATAATCGATTTTTTTAAATCACAGAACCCCAGAATGTTTGGGTTGGAAAGGACCTTAAATCCCATCCAGTCCCATCCTTTTCCATGGGCCAGGATGCTCAGGTTCTCTCTTTAGGTGTCATATGAAATATAAAATATTCCCCCCCCAAAAAGTGAAGACATTTGGTAAAATAAACACATAAAATTAACACATAACATTAATATATAAAGTAAAGTAAAATCAAATAAAGTAAAATCAAATAAAGTAAAATAAAATAAAATAAAATAAAATAAAATAAAATAAAATAAAATAAAATAAACAGGAGTGTCCACTCTTTCCTCCTGCCCCTCCAGCTGCTCCTGTGCTTCCACACTGCTGGAACATTTCTTCCATAGGCAAAGTTAACTCAACCCACCAAAAAAATCTCAATTTCTATCTCCTGACTCAGATTATTTCATGTCAATACATTTTTGTGGCTCAAGATCAGAACTTTTTCCATTTCTCCACCATGTACACAACTCTACCAATACCTGGATAAGCAAAGGCACAGCACAAGGAGAAGAAAAAGGTGCCTGGACTTCCAGAGCAATCTCTCATCCCCAAAACCCCAAACTCATTAGGAGAGAAGAAATTTCATGCAGCAAGCACACCAAGAGTTTATATTTTTGCCTCATGACACTTTATCATCACATAATAAAGTCTCTTCTTTTAGGCATGACATGATGCCATTGTTTAAAATTAAATCCTCCCCAAAGCAAATAACATAAACTTAGCTAAACTGTGTTACTTCTTATTTAAAAATTCTTGGCACAAATCTCCAGAAACTGGCAAATCTTGATTATTTTAAACTCTCTTGCAGGGCAGATGCTGCCATGGGAGCAGAGAGGAGACTCCAGCAGATTCTGCTCTGGATTCAGGTTCCAACTGAAACCATCCTGAAACTGGAAAGGCTGAGAAAATTCAAAATGAATTTCCACAGGGAAGGAATTTCATCCCAGTCCCATCCCTGCCTGCTCCAGGCCACCTCTGTCATTGTCACTCCACTTCCTCCAAGTCATTCTTTCCAAGTGATGCTGCTAATTAGTACAACTAATTGTCCAATTCATTGATAAAAGTATCAGGAAGGTATTTGAATAATCCCCAGGCACAGGGCTCCTAAAGCAGAATTCAGTCTCTGGAATTCTGATTCTATTCTTGCTAAGGTTAATGGATGATTTCCCACTGAGGTGAATATAATTCACACTGGATCACTCCTGAGTCTATATTTATATTAAAATGCCCTACTATTTCAATCTGTTTGATCGTTTTTAAAATATCCATCTTATTTATTCAGAAATAGAGCTCAAAATTCTATAAAAATTTAGCCTAGGATTGAATGAGTTTTCAGAAAGCTTTGAGAAATTTTATAAAGTCTGGGTTTAAGGTATTTCTAAGTAAATGGGACTAAATAATGAAATCTTCCTCTGATTTTTAGAAATATGTATCACAACAGCACTAAGGGCAAAGAAAAATATTAAATATTATTAATGACAAATGCACCAAATGGCACTGGGGAAAAGCACAGTAAAAACAAGGATTTTAAAGGTGTCAAGGTGTTTGACAGCAAATCAACAACAGGAATAACCAAATTCCAGATTTTTAAAGTGTAAACTGTAGGATTTTCACATCAGCAGAGCACACAGAGAAAAAGAATCCAAGAACAAGACTTTCAGTAGCAGCCAACACACAACTTGGTTAAACCTAAATTTGCTTTTTTATTTCACGATTTTATATGAAGTTTTCTCTATGACTAAAAAAAAACAAACCTTTCAAGCTGAAGAAACTTCTAATATACAAGAAGATGAACAATTTTAATTGCTTTGCTTAAGTTAGCTTAAGAATTAAGCTATATTAATTCTAATATAATAAAGAATGGAATGGAATGGAATGGAATGGAATGGAATGGAATGGAATGGAATGGAATAGAAATAGAAATAGAAATAGAATAGAATAGAATAGAATAGAATAGAATAGAATAGATAATAATTCAATAATTAAAATACAAGTTTAATAACATTACAGCCTTACAATTTTGTATGGCCCTAAGAACAGTGAATGGAAAAATGTCAATTTAATGACTGAATTCTTCCTCCTTCACAGAAACCACAATTAAAGTGTCCCAGTTCCTTCATTCTCAGCCTGTTTTTTACACTTTCAGGCATAATAAAAGATGAAGTTTCTGACCCCTGAAGCTTTTGTTTCCTCTCCTGTACTTGCAAACTTCCCTAATTCAAAGGGCTGGCAGGAAGGAGTTAATGGGAGCTTCCAGATGAGTCCATGGCATCCATTCAGAGAGAAAAACTTGAAATTCCTCCAGAATTGCATCAGATTGGAATTGATGGCCAATGAGATGCTGGGAGATGAGAAGATTGCTGCTCCATCCCAGTGCTCCAGCACTGAGCTGGGAGTGAGGAGCCTTCAGCTTCCTGCAAAGTTGTGCTCAACAACTCAGAGAACTCCTCCCAAATTCTGGGAAGCAGCCTTGGTGTCACGTGTGACAAGCTGGACATGCCAGGTGCAGGGAGCTGGATGTGATCTGCCAGGACCTTGAAGGGCAGGAAGGCACTGGGAATGTCATCCAGGTGTTGGGGTCTGAACTGGGATCTGTGCTCCACACCAGGGAAACAGAAATGCGTTTTCTGCACGTGGCTTCACCCTGAAATTTCTTCCTCACCTTAAAACCCCCGTGAGCTGCTGCTCCTCCAATCACACTCTCCTGTATTTCA